AGATTTATAACCATGCACCAATACCATAGGTTTTCTTTTCATGATGCTTTTCAAAGTTTATGTTTGCAGTACCTTAAAGAAAGTAACATGAAAACCTCTCCCGAAGTTGAGGAGTYGAGCAGGGATACCTGTTTAGGGCAATTTATATGGTAATATAATTATTATACTAACAGCCAATCAGTGAGGTGGTATCACAGGGTGGTCACCCTAGAGAATTTTTGTGTAGGGAAGGGTAAGCAATTTAGTCTATCAACTGATTTTTATAAATTTGGGAGTCCCAAAGGTGAACTGAATAACAGATTGTCATCTATCAAACATTCTGTCAAGTAATGTATATGTGGCAAACAAGAGAAGGGGGATTGAAGCCCTGATAAAAATCATATAACTAAGACAGTATAACTACTTTGAATYCTATAATATTAATGCACAAAGCTGCACAAGTAAGTTAGTAGCCTCGGTGGAGGGGATCAAGAGAAAAATATCTGAAAATGTTTAGAGCCTCCTTTATTTTAGAAACATGTAGTTCCAGAAATCATACATACACCCCTACCCTGCGAAGAAGTTTTTAAAATTCCTCTGTGGGGGAGAGGGGCAAGGGGTATAGATAATTTCTGGAACTATGGATAATTCCACGGATATTGAACAAACCAGAATACTTTATCAACAGATACTTAAATTTTCTCTATAAAACTGGTGATGAGACCACCATCACCACACTCCCTCAACTTCTCTCTCTCTACTGAAAGATCAAAGACCCCCTCAGCCAGCCAAAGGGATTTTAGTACTGATGATATATAACACCAGCTTTTTTGAAATAGCGGTATATCAGTAGTGTGTAGAGCTAAGGTTATTAAACGAGCATGGCGATGTCCAGATAGTAAAGGGTTTTTAGGTGGGAACAAAACTATGAGCAGATTTTGCCAATGTGGTAAACGGCTACACGTCAGTTCTCCATCAATGGAGGGGACTTATGGTATTCTACTGAGAGAGACATATATAACCGAGATGCTCAGTTTTATACGAAACCACAGGTAGCCCAAGCTATCAAAATGACTGTTCAAATCTATCAAACCTTGAACATTACTATTGTAAAACAATCTCTAATGTTTGCTAAGATAAACCAAGGTTCAAACTTTACACAAAGTATTGAGGTAAAGCCCTTTCGAAATACTATCGTCTTGTTCAGACTTCATTTTTTCCATGATTTTGAACCTGGATTCAAACTATCTTTTAGTTGCCATCATTCAACACGAATCCAATGAGTTTACTTTCGTTACCTTTGTACTCCTTGCTTTCCTTTAATTCATATAGTTCCTTGACGAAAAGCTTTCTGTGGGCCCAAAAGGTCGAGTTGAGACCCCAGTAGTAAACGCGCAAATCAATGTCTGTCGCCATGTCGCCATGACAGGCGGAGCACCACAGGAAACCCATTATGGAAATTACGTGCCKKTTGAAAAATAGACCGTTTTCTCAAGGTTGCGTGCGCATCGACCTTGACGGGCCACAAAACTGAAAAACACAAATTCAGTAAAATTGAGAAGCCAGTTTTATATTTACAGCTCTAAAGAGGAGAATAATCGATTTGATAAATTTTTATTGAAAAATCTAATAGAAATGTATGATAATTCTCATTATGAGGCTTCTGTTCTGGTATCGTGAAAGGTCAAGTTCCTTATATATGGATGCGCACGCAACCTTGAGAAAAACGGCCTCTGCTGGAAAAATTATTCAATAAGACCAACGAAGTATGGTCGAAACGTAGA